AGTGATCCAACACTCCCCCACCCACCCATCCATCCTTTATCTGCCCCACACCTGAAGCCAACTTTTATCACTCTGAAACACACACACACGTGAGCCTCACTGTTCGAGTGTGCTCAATGTGTTATTGTTCTTGAGCATCGTGATCCCACTCATTTTATTCATATTTTTGTGCAAATCCTCATTCGCATCGTCTGCAGCGGCAGCATCTGTGTATGGGCATCCATCCATTCTTGTCATCCTCATCATCATCATCAACATTATCATTCACACACATCCAGCCCCTCCTCCCCGTCCCACACAAGATTTCTCCCTCACCCCCTGTCCCAGAACAGATTATCTTCGGACTGCGGCCTTCATCGCCAATCTGTCTAGTGGCTGTTCACTCCGGTATTCTTTGTTGGTTTTTTCCAAAAAATTTGATTTATTTAGTCGTTATTTTTGATGTGTTCGAAATCTGTGACCTCTTATTCAGATGTCTATCTAGTATTGGAGGTTTGATTGATACAGTCAGTCAGTCAGTCCCTTTTTTTGCACGGTGACCCTATCGGTTTAATAGGCTTCCTTGTTACTTTGATTCCCTTCCCCGTCCTCCGCACTTCTGATTACAAATCATCTGTGCCATTTATGCCTCGCTCCGCTTCTGACTGCCCGTTTTTGGTGATCGTGTGTCCGTGGTTCCATATTAATCATTCTTGTCTCTCCCAACCTATCTGTCTGTCTGTTTGTTCTCATGCGCGTGTGACATTCACTTATCCCCTTCGACGCTGTACCGTTTATTTGTATTTTTTTCTCCGTGTCAGATGAAGCATTTCGCTCTCCCTGTGCACCCTGTACCCCGTTTGACTGCCCCATCCCCCACTCATTTATTTCGGTTACTTTCTCTTCAGATTCACTGATTTCTTGCTCCTCTATCCAACCATTCACCCTGCCCCGCTCCGCCTCACTTCCTTGAAAAAACGGTTCCTTGGGGTGCGCGTCGGTCGATTGTTCTCCTTTCTTCTATTCGCCAAAAAACATTGAATATGGCACGGTATATGATACCGGTAATGACGAGAGATAGTGAGTGAGTGCACCCACCTATACCAGACCGCCTCTCAATGCACACGACAGTGCTCGGTCGAACCGGTCCCGCAATCGGATTGGTTTGGAGTA